GTCACTATCTCCACCAAATACATGCTATTCTCTTAATATATACCAAAGGGACCATATCATGTGATTTTGAAGTGGAAAAGGAAGAGGAAAATTGATTAATACAGATCTCCTTTTTTTGCCTCTCATATAAAATTCACTCAAATACAATCAGAACAAAACAAAACAGATTAAATATGAAACAAGACAATGAGTTTATTTCATATGATTCAATTTTATTTACCCAAAACTAACTTTTCAAACATTTTACGGAATCGTAATTTTGTCATTCAAACCACATTTTGTAAATTTGAATTAATACCTGAGTGCCATGTGACAATGCTGTGATACATTTCACCACAAGTTCAATTTTCATAGATTTTATTTTTACATACATGTACAAATATATCAGTATAAATTGACATTTTGAATACACCTGAGATCTACCATCATGCAAAATATTTACAATTTTATTGATTTTTTGTTTCCTTCGTATCTCTGAAATTTTATCTGTTTTATTTGTTCAAAGGTAAAATCCAGCTTCGCAGGTACTGCTTCATACAAAAATGATTCAAAATCAGTCCAAAGTATTTGGGTAGCAAAATAAAAATCAAGTGAATCGCAAATTGTTATTGCAGAAGGTAATACAGCCTAAAGTTAGGTGGCAGTTGTCTTTAAAAACATCTCAACTCAGATATTAATGCAAGTCTCGCACTGCATATACTACATGCATGCGTTTGCCAATGAGGATATAGAAATACAGGATTCATTCTTCAATGACCTTGCTCCAAAGTTTCCAAATCTTTGAATAGATAAAATGCGTGAGTAACATTTGAAAACTGTCAAAAAATGTGTGATTAATACCTTCAAATCCCTCTTAACTGGGGATATTTTGACAACAGATCATTTCGTTTTTCTCCACACAAACACATAGAAGATGGTACGTCTTTGTAAACTTATATTCAACTCATCATAATACCTCAGATATTACCAGCTTTCTCATACAAATTTGAATATTTTATTGACAGTAATTGAAATTTTGTGGAACAAGAAGGAAGAAGAGTGAACCTATAAGTGAAATGTTTACAGCCAAAAGAAAACTTCAAACAAAAAAAATTGAAGATGATTGCTGATACTAAGCTATTTGTATCTTATTATTATTAGTATTACCAAATAGGCTATACAAAGACCCAAGTATGTTGGAGCACAAACATTCTTTACAATTTGGAGCATGAAAAAGCCTGCAACTCACATCCGTGAACATTCATGATAATCAGAATAGAATTATGTGGAACAGATTGATGCTTTCTTTGCGTTTTGCATTTGAACATTCGAATGCTGAGAGGTGATAAAGGGGAGGAGCGGAAATAGACGTAGATGTTGAAGGGAGAGAGAGAGAGAGAGAGAGAGAGACACACACACACACAGAGAGAGACAGAGAGACAGAGAGAGAGAGAGAGAGAGAGAGAGAGAGAAAGGAGTACACAATTACCATTTCACAAAATAAAATTGAATGAAGTTATCATTTTGAACTTCATTCTGAAATAAATATTTTCCTATAATTGGTGGGAATTCCTAGTCGGTGGGATACAGTTTGCACTCACAATAAATATCATCATTTGCATGAAATATTCATGCATGCACATTTACTTTGCCCCAAGCTCGAGTTCTGGTAATGATAGAAAATAAATGTTCACAGAATCCAACAGAAGTTTGTCGACTTCTAAATACATATTTTTCTTTCTGATGCTATCATTGGTTTATTCTAGCACCAAAACGGAATATTAAATTCCTCAAACTCCCATCTTACATAATCCATCCAGGGCAGAAAAAACATCATAATTAACAATTAACTATTGAATTGTGCAAACATGACAATGACATATCACATTATCAAGCATAATTTCTATGGGACGTACTATAAGGTAGTGAATTTGTGCTCTAGTTGATTTTTGATTTCTTTAAACAAAAATAGATGCAGCCATGTTTACACAGCTTACAAAAAACAGCAAAGTAAGAGGGCTTACTATGTGGGGGATCCTTAGAAACAAACTGGCTTGGAAAGTCCAGGAAAGGGTGAAAATAAGTTTGATGGATCATTTGTAATCCCATCGAGCAAAAACAGTAAGTCTGGAATGATTATATTCTTACAATGATCGTATTTTTGCAATGATTGTATTCTTGCAATGATCGTATTCTTGCAATGATTGTATTCTTGCAATGATCGTATTCTTACAATGATTGTTTTCTTACATACCTAAGGTTGCATTCAATATCTAGTCTTATTCACACCAATGCAATCATTGCATAGTACTGTCATATTGTAGTTCACAGCTAGTTTGAAAGAAAGACTGTGATTTAGACTATACAAGGCTACACAATCGCGGTTCGTTGATCAAGCAGTTTCTAGCTCGACTAGGAATAAATTTCTTGCTTCTAGTAATGAATTTGAATGATGAATATTTAGCACTGCTGTGAAACGTGGATATTGCTGTAATTGTTAATGGCTACTCCAGGTACATCTTCAAATATACTGTCAATATTCACAAGTTAACAATGAATGCATGTATATGTACATGTAAAATATCAAATATGCCACTGTTTATCAACATGAAAAGGGAATACCAGGACAGGTTTTTCAATCTGACATTGTGGTGCATCGATTTCACGAAAGGCAATTCATTATCTCTAAAAGCCCCACTGCACTGCTTATAGCTATTTGCGCCCTCTATATAGCAAACAATGCCTAATCGGTGCATGTTGGTCCCCCATAATCCTCTTTTTCTAATGTTAATAAGCCAGTTCACGGTTGCAGTCTGAGCATGAGCAGATAAAGGTCATTGCAGAACAAATTTTGAAATACACGGAGACGAAATACTGGATACGTGCTCATGAAAGTTATGTAACACTATTCATTCATACACATTCAGTGCACTCCATGATACACAGATGGAAGTATTCTTTGAAAAGGGGAAACAAAGGCTATTTATAGCACCTCCATTGCTGTAGGAGTGATTATTTCAAAAGTGGGAACTCTTCATGTTTTTAAGATCTGTGGATATTCTGGGTCATTGCAGTAATGTGCTAACCATGAACTGGTCTATTGAGAGCTGATTTGATGAGATAGCCATCTGTCAGTGACCTTGCAGGAAGGTCTAATCCCCCTGGCCAAACTAGTGCAGACAGGCTTTAAATGATCCATTTATTTCATCAAATGTGTGACCAACGTGCTCAAATGTGACCTCATGATACAAAATAGCATGGCTGGGATATTGAATACTGAGCAATTTAAATTTAGCATTTATTTATTTGAATAACATGCTGTTTGCTAAGAACCAATAAGACTTTAATCTGATACAGGTGAAAACACAATCTGGCTCTAAACAGCATTAGAATGCATGTCTCAAAATGTTTAACACATCATGATTCTGTAGAAAAAAGACACAAAAATTTGACTTATGTTCTTATATGTTTAGTGCATGATGAGTCTCTTCAATACGTTCTTCTTACAACACACATCCCTACAGCTATTTGTTGCATAACATGTTATGGCAGTATTCTAAGGGTTTATGAAATGAAATGAGTGTAAAACCAAATCAAACACAACATGAAATGATCAAATTGTCAGCTAATAAGCATTCCTTCATATACTTCTATAAAGATTTCAGTCCCTTCTCCCATTTGTAAAGAAAAACTTCATAAAACAAATGTCCTTGTATTATTTGCTCGCATTGTTTCAGATTAGGTTATTTCCCTCCCTCCACTACAACCCACACGATAATACATACCACTCCTTCACTTCACTACAATGGAAGAACCAAGCTCAACAATCTCAAATGTTATTAAACACAAGTAGAAAGACTTCCCTTTGCATCAAGGCAAAGTCAATTTCAAAATCGGTCAAGTATTCGCCCCATAAATCATGTTTGGATTAAGTAATATGCCATAAGGCCTGTCCTCATCAGCTCGAGATTGCCAGATAGCCTGCTATTTCTGATTTGGGAAATAATACCGAAGTTACAAATTGCATCTTCATCAGCTCGAGACTTGACCTCGAAACTTGAAACTCAAGCTCGAGAAATTAGCTCAAGATATTTTGCCCAGCTTTCGCCCATAGTGCGAGTCTTCGAGCTGGTGAAGTCGCACCAGACAAATAGCGGGATATTTTGCAAACTAGCCCAAGATACTTTGGGATGAGTATCTCAACCAAAAATACTGCTAATTGCAACTTCGGGCTGATGAAGACGCAAATTAACTGGATAATTTGCGATCGGGATAGTTCAAATAGCGGGATATTTGGCAATCTCGAGCTGATGAAAACAGGCCTATTTTCATTTCTTGAATGTCTATCATATTATTCTCAAGAATACAAAATGCTTAATGCCATGCCCATTAAGCATCTGGGTTTCTCACTCTGAATACATACGGTGCTTTTAAAAGAGGTATGTAAGATTCTCCTGAAGCTTTTTGTTTGCATCTTGCCTTTTAAAATTTCGAATAATGAATGAGAATCATTTTCGAACTTTTGAAATCCAAAGTTTTTGAGAAAGTACTCCCTGAAGCTTGCCCTAGATGTTCATAGGCATAGAGTAAATCACCCAATAATCTGGAATCTTCCCAAGAAGTATAAGAATAATCTGTTCTTGTACAGGGCATTACACATTATGATTAAACGTCCCTATGCGCTTCCATTTAGAGCTTTGGAAATTATTACCCTAGCTTTAGCTCCGGCAGCCGTTTTCAGCACACAGACAGTGTATTTCAAGGAATAATCCTACAAGGTGCCCACTTACCTCACCTGGGTGGAGTGTGGCAAATGTAGATTAAGGCAGTGATTCAAAGGAATTGACCAAACTAAAAACTAAACCTCGATTATATCCACTTCAGTATGCTAGTTTAGTTTCTTATATGGTTAGGAAATACTATATTACTTATAAAATATGTGACTAAAAATCCACATCTTCCAGCCACAGTAATAGTTAAAACCATAATTTTTCCTCTTTTTTTTTTTTTTTTTTTTTGGGGGGGGGGGGGGACAATAGTTAGAGCGCTTTCGCAAAGACGACGGAAGCAAAGACAACGGGATAATTCACTCAACCGAGATCATCCTGTACTATGCTCCTGTCTACATTTGTAATCTAACTTAAAGGTGTCAATTGGCTGGAAAATTCGGGTTGTTGGTTGCCAGTCCTCTATTCAAAGTTTGCTGAAATAACAAACTAGCTTGTATTTCACATTCTTCACATTTACGTGACTTTTTAAAAATTTAGTTGGTTTGAAAAAGGACAAGAATATTTCTCTCTTCTATCTCTTATTACATGCTCGCGCAGTTTCTCAGAATAAACTTATTTTTGTACACTAATACATTTTTCTGCAACACAATGGCATCTGCAGTGTAAACGGGCTCTGTGCATACACATTTAATACCCCACATATTGGAAGTCAGAAATTCACCTTTTTTACCCATTACAATCGTAATACATGCACCATTTCAAATAGATCAATACATATTATGCTGTATAGAAATATATGACATATAAACATAATTAACATCAGAATGGCAGTATTTGGCAGTTATCAAAATATACTTTACAAAATAGACAAGATTATTTACACTATCGTCTAGCATTCAATACCTCTCACATCTGATAGACCTGGGGAGTGTTTCACAAAGACTAAGATAGACTTTAAGTTGGACTTAAAGGGAGTGGGTAGTCAGTTTCCATGTGCAGAAGGCCGTAATGCGCTGACACCAGACTTGGTGGAAATACCATTAATGGGAGTACAAATCTGCACACAGCAAACCCTTTGGCCAGTCAAGAATTACCCCCTGGTCTCTCGGAGCATGCTCGGAGATTCTTCGGCCGAAGGAAAAGCAAAGCATTACATAAGGTCTAATGGTCATAAAACTCGAGGCTAACCCTGGTGATTGACAACACCTGTTTTGGGGTAAACACCTGAACGGTGTCAAATTCCCCATGAGAGCTGACTTCTATGTGACTTTAACTATGGCAGGCCGTTCACGCCACTGTTTGATTTTACCATTAACTGGCATTGGTCTCTGAAGGGACGTATAAATCGTGGCCACAAATCTACAGAATCATCCTAAATAATCATTTTAAACACAATTTCATAATATTTGGAAACTGAAATACTGTAAAATCAGAAACCTATGTAAAATATGACTTTCATGAATTGTTCACCGCAGCTGGTTACCACGGAAAGAAACTTTCACGGATCTGGACCTTCGCAGCATTTACGAAAGTGTCACAGACGCAAAACCTTCTTGATTTTACAGTACAGCTCAAAAGAGCCAGTGAATGGGAATAACTCTCTCAAGTTACTGTTGTTTAGGAGACAGAGTGTAGAACACACACAAGCACATATTGGTAGGAGCACAATTATATAAATCCTGCTTGTGAAATATTTTGAAAATGTCTTCAGAAGAGAACCGTACATTGATTCACAGCACCTTGGATAGATAGAACATCTGGGGGGCATTTCACAAAGCCTTTTTTCAATGACAAATGACAAATGACAAAAGTCAGTGACAAATCTGCTGATGACCATTCCGAAGCAAGGATTTCAGTAGCTTATAACAAAAACTGTCATTTGTCACTGATGACAAGTTTTGTGAAACACCCTCCTGTTCATCCTTTCATCGGTTGTTCTTAATAATGGGGAATCCACCCATACTGATCAGGTGATCACTGATGATGTTAGGTATGTAAGACAGCGGAATCCAGATGTACTTGGCGTCCCAGCCCACTCCGTATCTCGTCTTCGGCCACCGACTGAAGAGGGCGTGTTCCATGGCGTCGCTCACCAGGTGGAGCTTCGTCGATGTCCGGTTGTCAAGCATGTTGCAGACGTTTTGCCGCACTGGAGAGGTATTGGAAAATAGGGAAGAGCTTTACAATGCTAGAAAATGACACCAGATTTTGAATAAATTATTAAGAAATGCTCATTGAAATGCAGTGTTCATCCAATCAGGCGTGCAGATTTAAAGATTAAAGCATTCAAAACAACGTTATTGATATTTGGTCCATTAATCATTTGGTCTAACAACCATTAGGCTAATGACCATTTTAGGCAAATATCCATTTGGTCTGACGAACATTTTAGGCTAACAACCATTTGGTCTGACGAACATTTAGGCTAATAGCTATTTGGTCTATTTTCCATTTGGTTTAATCTCCAATCAATAAGTCTACTACACATATTTTTAATAATTATGATGATTATTATTCATGATTAAATGACTAATCGACCACATGGATTGTAAACAAAATGGTGTTAGACAAACTGGGAATTAGACCAGCTTGAAATTAGACCAAATGAGCAATAGACCAAATGGGTGGTAGACTTATTGGAGATAAGACCAAATGACTATTAGTCTAAATAGTCGTAGATGGAATGATATGTAAATGGAATGATTATTAGACCATGTGGAACGTAGATGGGCTGGGTGTAGACTATAAGGGATAGACCACTTTGGTAGTAGACAACCAGGTTGTGGACCAAATGGCAATAGAAGTAGAAGTGTCGTAGTCGAGTGGTTTAAGCACTTGACTTGGAATTCAAAGGTCGTGGTTCGATCCCTGACAAGGAACTAATGTCCTTTGGCAAGGCATTAATCTTCATTTGCCACACTCTACCCAGGTGAGGTAAATGGGTACCTGGTAGGAAGAAATTTGTTGAATGCTTGAGCACCTCTTAATGGTAGCTCGGTTAAAGCCGGGTAAAAATATGATTGCATGGCCCTCGGGGGGAACAGTATGGATACTGATGAGGCTACCCAGGGTAAACAAGACATATTATTATTATTATATTATGAACACCTCTCCTCAGGTAGGTACTTACATTTTTGGAAGCCCTCTTCTATGAATTCTGATTTTCTCTCGGGTGTGAGTCTATCCCAGGCCTTGTCTAGATTATTTGTGAAGTTGTTTTTACTGGATATCAATGTCCTGAAGAATCCTGGTTCTATAATGGCTACGTTGATGCCGTAGTGAAACATTTTAGCTTCTCTCCTGCATAGGACACAGAAAAATGAAAGAAAGAAAGGAAGGTAAGAGTTTTGTTTTGATCTAGGCAAATAATATGATGTAATAATGGCTAAGCTGTTCTATAATCGCTATGTTGATGCCATAGTTTCTTATCTCCTGCACAGAAATTATAAACAAAATGATATGTAAGGTATTTCTATTGATTTAGGCAAATAATATGATATGAATATGTGATGGTTCATCTATGATAGCTAATTTGGGCTCCTCTCCTGCATCAAATCAAAGAAAGGAAAGAAACAAAGTAAATTGTATGGGTTAGTATTAAAGCCCCACTGCACTACTTATAGCTAATTGCGCCCTCTATACAACCAACAATGCCTAAGCGGTACCTGTTGATCCCCCATGGTCCACTTTTTCTTATGTTAATTGAGAGCTGATTTGATGAGATAACCACCTGCCAGTGACCTTGCAGGGAGGTCTAATCCCTCCATGCCAAACTAGTGCAGAGGGCCTTAAGTAAAAGCTAGATGTAAGTTCCATGTTGGTGATATTGAAGCTAATGTATATCTTAAAAACAAATAATTTCATAGTTTCATAATCTGCCTTTTGAAAGTATATTAAGGAGCTAAACGTCTATTGTCTAAAAATTAATCATATAATAAAGTATAAAACTAGCCCAAATAAATGTCAGAATGAACAAACAAATTTTTGAAAAATGGTTAAATGAATAGTTCAGTTCCCTAACCCCTCAAGGTTTGTTTTTCCTATATAATAAATACCAAGGATATTTCAGTAATACTTTAATATCATTGACCATAGAAGGTCACCAAGGGATACCACACACATCCTCAATGATGGTTGATGGAGCATTGTGGTTAAGTGGTGAACTCAATCAATAAGTAAACAATCTGAAACCTTGCCTGGCTTCCCAGAAAAGTAATTTTATTGTACTTAAAGCTGGGATTCATGCATGGAGGAGAAATTCCTTTTATGCTTTTAAAGCCATAATGGGAGAACATATCTTACAAATAACATGCACAATAACGAATTGATTCTAGCACATGAAATGCAACAATTTCAGTAGCTTGTAACACTTCATGTAATTTGTTGATAATAATAATAATAATAATATTGGATTCTTATATAGCGCATGTATCGACCTTGCAAGGTCCTCAAGGCGCTCCAACATTACCCGGCTATGCTAGGCTGCCGATTTCAGCGCTCACAGCAGTGAAGGAATTCCTTCCTACCGGTCCCATTTAACACCTGGGTGGAGAGTGGCAAGTGTAGATTAATGTCTTGCCAAAGGACATTAGTGCCGCGGCGGGACTCGAACCACGGACCCTGTGATTCACAGTCCGACGACTTATCCACTACGCCACAACACCTCTACATGATAACAAATACATGTATGAAATTCTGCACCTGGTTATAAACCCAGGATAATATTGAGGCATTATCACTGTGATATTAAGCCTAATACACTAGCAGAAACAAGCAAGGCAGTAAGTAACATGTTGACCAAGAGAAACAGTAATTCCAAATACCCCCCCCCCCCCCCCCCGCAGTATTTTTTGCATTTTAAAGGGGTTAGGAGATGGGTCACTCATATCATTCAAAAGAATTGCATTTTATGGGGGACTCATAATAAAGAATATGTCAGTATAGACATGCACCCAAAAAGGATATGAACCCTTGATCTAAAGAATATACATACCTCACTGAATCTGAAAAGGCCTCCACGCCAAACTTCGAGACCGCATAAGCACCACTCGGCAGGGCAAACCTGCCCTCCATGCTGGCCACGTTGACTATCCTTCCCTTGGCTTTCCTGACAAGCGGTAGGAACGTGACGCACATGTCCATCAGACCAAGGATGTTCACATCAAGAACTCTCTTGTAGTCCTCTCTCGTATGCCACTCCTGGAGACCACATGCTACCGATATCCCGGCATTGTTCACTAACCCCCACAGACCTGTTGGAATTATGAGGCGAGAGGATTTTTAATGGTCATACTTGGTCCTGTAACAATTATTGATCATGATGTTTTTTTCATACACTGTATGCTGGACAAAATTCTGCAATGAAGCCATTTTACTGCAATTGAATTAATTTTCAATCAACTATTATCGTAACCTTATCCTTCGATGTTTAGAAAGCTTGTTTGCATTCTAAGACACTTCCTCGTAATAATATTCTAGACAGGCTCTACAACACATTTCTTCTTAGAGGGGAACATTATAGATGACCACTACAGACAGGTGGCGGATAAGACAGGTTTGACTGTCATTAAGGTCAACTTTAATATATGACTAATATAAAAACAATTACAAAAGTCAAAGTACATGAACATGGCGCCTATCAGCAAACCACAAAGTTCCTGACATTGTTTTTGAACACCCAGACTTTTTATTTATAAGGAAAATCGAGTGGGAGGGTTTTGCCATACTACTGACTATTAGTTGGGTCCTGCACTTTACTGTAAATCTTTTTGATAGGGAAACAAAGTCATTAATCATTATCATATTTAGTGTGCCCCATACCACAAGGTCCTGTATATTGCTAGTTCCAACTCATCTATCGGGAAATTTGGAAGGATGCCATCCCTTTAGACCCTAAGCCAAAACCCCACAATTTAATTAGAATATCAAGGTCTATAATTTGACATTCAAATCGGTCAATTTAGCAGGTTTAATAAGTGCCTCTTGGAAGTCTGCCAGTTATCTGTGATACAGGCCATTAAGAGTGCACTGTGCTGTAAACTCTTGGGTGATTCCATACAGTGTTTCCTGTATGATATTTTTTATTTTACAGTGAAACCTGTCTATAAAGACCACCCAAGGGAGTCAAGAAAAGTATTCTTCATAGGCAGGTGGTCTTTATGTACAGGTTCCTTCAGTGCATGTTTCAATGAGAAAACATACAGACCAAAAGGTACACGTACATGTACTAGCCTAATAAAACACAGAAAAACAATATCTTGAAACACAACCATTTTTAGGCTTTCAGCAACATCATAAGATGGCCTGGGCGTAAAAGTTGTTGATTTAAATGAAACGCGATAGCTCTCAAAAGAGGAAGAATAAGGAGAACATGATTTCAAATAGAGAGAGAGAAAGAGAGAGAGAGAGAGAGAGAGATCAGGAGCTGTACCTGTAATCAGAAAGCATAAAATCTTCATCTCAGTCCCATACCTGTATTGCTGGGTAATGTTCTTTCGACTTCTTCTAAAGCAGCTTCTATATGTTCATGTTTTGTCACATCTAGAACCAGGGTCTTGACGCGTTCTGAGGTTTCTTGGTCGATTTCTTCCGCTCCTTTAGGAGTCAGGCATCCGGCGAAGACGTGGACACCCTTACAGTCCAGCTGTTTAACAAGGAGCTTACCAAAACCACTATCACATCCTGTTATAAGAACGTATCTGAAAGACAAAATTCAAAGATAAAGATTAATCAATATCAGTCATCTGGTTTGCAGAACCTTTGAATCTACTGTATGTTGGCAAATCCGGCTTACATGTACGTAACTGTTGGCTAATTAATATTTGATACATTTTTTCCTGCTGAAAGAATAGAGTTAACATGAAAGATATATGTAACATAAACACCCCCCTCCCCCCCCCCCCCCTTATGGGAGCTGTGAGAAATTTGTGCACTAGTAAGAACTAGTAAGCGCTAGTAAGAGACAATAATAATAATACAATAATATATTACATTTATATAGCGCTTAATACAAAGTTTCTAAGTGCTTAACAAAAATAAAATTAAAATAATGTTAACCTACAAATTATACAACAATATAATACATGATGCATAATTATAATAACAAATTCCTAATAACAATCATACAATAATAATAGTTAATATTTACATAACGCTTTATAGTTTAACAAACAAAATATGATTACATTACATTACATATTGAACAGATAAGTCTTAAGTTTACTCTTGAATGTTTCTAACGTTGGGGACTTGCGTATTTCATGGGGAAGATTGTTCCAAAGTTGGGGGGCACAGACAGAAAAGGCACGATTTCCATAGCGGGTGTGGGTGCAAGGGCCTGGGGCCAGATGAAGATGTGCTGTGGATGATGATCGGAGACGCATAGATGAAGTGCGGGTTTTAGGAGTGACGAGTGCCGAGAGATATGAGGGAGCAAGTTTGTGAAAGGCCTTGTATGTCAGCATAAGAATCTTGAATTTGATACGTTGTTGGTGGGGGTAGTGGAGAGAACTAATGATCGGTGTGATGTGTTCATGTTTTCTTGTACGTGTGATGAGGCGTGCTGCTGTGTTCTGAATATGTTGAAGAGGGGCTAAATGAGAGCTAGGAAGATTGATTAATAGTCCATTACAGTAATCAAGGTAACAAAGTAATATCAATAATAACGAAAGCAGAGAAAGCAATTAGCATGATACACAAAAACAGCAAATTGCTGGTAAAAGTACAGATATGACTTCAATAGATTCATGCTTACATGTACAAACGTTGGCTGGCATTGTACACATTGTACACCGTTCATAAAACATGAAAGTGCGTTGAACCGTTCCAGAGGTTATGAACCATATCATAGAATATATTTGCCTCATTCAAGCAGGTTAAAGTTCAGAAGCTCTTTCCCTTAGATGGGACAAAAGAGAAGTACGGTACTTGAGATCCAGGGTAGCGTTTCACAAAAACATCAGAAGTTCATTGACATCCTAATGAAACAGATGCATTACATTTAAAATGCATTTTGATGTACAATGTATATATCTACTGTAAGTCTATAAACAGTGATAATCACTGATATGTATGACTGTGTTTTGAAACAATGCAGATAAGACTTTCATAAATTTCACTTGATTTAACATGCAAAGGTTGAAGTACAAGTAGGAGTGTGTGTACTAAATAAATATAAATTACCAGTTTGGAAATTGTGCACAATGGCCAATTGGCTATAGAAGTACATGTTTGTTAATATGTAATGTTGAGCTACTGCATTGTGAATGTGTTTCTGCAGCAGTACACCAAAGGGGTTTTCAGCCTAGACTGTAATTTAAACTCTGTTTGGAACAAACTACTAAACGAGAATTTGAAAATAAATATACATGTACGTATGACAGATCATAAGACTATTCAACAATGTACAATGCTTGTATGTGACGTACGTGTAGGTAGTGATGTTTATGAAGTTCAAATAACTGAACTACTTTCAGTTAATCCAAGCCTCCTCCCCCACCCCCCCCCCCCCCCAAAAAAAAAAAAAAAAAAAAAAAAAAAAACACCAGATAGTAAGTCAAAGGCATCAAAAGAGAGCTCTGCTCTCATGCAGCATCTGAAATGGATCAGACTTTAAAATAGTTAATTCTCTGGGGTATCAAAAAGCTCATATTTCCTTTTTAATTTCTTGAATTACAAAGCTAGAGATTAACTCATGTGCTCTGACAAAATTCCCTGAGGCCAAATAAATTGTGATCGAGCTCATAAACATCAATGAAATCAAATTTAAAAAATGTAGCACAATGCAACAAAATGTACTATGACCATGAATGCAAAGACTTTTAACCGTCTTTATTCACCTCAAAATTTAAGTACCTACCGTTGGAATATATTTGGAGTATTTTCCTTTTTATCGTTTAAAAAGCTACAATTCTTTTCAAAAGTGATCTCAGAACTTGTTTTGCAAGTTTACTAAAAAAGAGCAATTTAAGAGTATTGTACACTGATCAATTGACAATATTTGGCTCATGTGGCTTAAAGAATTGTGGCAGTAAATGTCTCTATAACCCGTGTTCCCCTTGCTACACTGAGACCCCTCCATTCTTCATGGAACAATTCTAAAAATATATGGTTTTTGAAAGGTCATTCACTTTCTGACTCTTGTTCAGTGGTAAACCATTTTAGCATGTATACAGTATACTCATTTACTGTATAATAATTGTTGGTATTCATTTTGCAATTGTTAACAATAGCCACTTCAGGTATCAACAGATTATTGTTGGTAACTTAACCCTAATGAGGCCGGGGTATTTGAGATCTTTAGCGGAGGGGGGGGGGGGGCAAAATCCTCCCCCCCCCCCCCCAGGCCTCAATAGGCTTAACAGCTGGTCACACCAGCAGTCCCTGTGCTGTAGGGAGAGTTCGCAATAGGCCAATCAAATTGGTTCACTATAGCTCAGATGATGCTACCATTCCCTGATAAGCTTAAAATAAAAAAAGTCAATTTTTTTTTTGATTGATATACATGTACATGTAACATGATCGAAAGTATCATTTTCCTTGCTTAAATCAAGAAATAATTCAATCATATATTGATCGGAATCAATAGCATTGGACACTTAACAAATAAAATTAAGAAGAACCGTCAATGCAAAGTGACCAACCTTACAAAAACCATATTATTACAATGTATGTTTCATCATTTAAAAAAAAGAAGTAACAAAACATTTCTTATATATTAAAAAATAATGATCAAGTGATGTATCTTGTGTGTCGTGTGTGTGGAGATTTGACACTATACCGCACATACTGTAGGGCATACAGGTGTACGACTATGTAACGTGCAAACAGTAAACACACATACAATGTACAGTGTAAGAAGTGCTTTTGAACTATTGAACTTTCCACATGTTGGTTACTACTCAGCGAACCATATCAATAATTCAATTGTGTTCTCTCAATAACTCAGTACCCTTGTTCTTTATGGACGTCAAGAAGTTATTCAATAACCAAGCAAGCCCAACCTCAAAGGATACAATGGCAGAGTTGCTCCAAATAGAAGCCATAGATGTACATGTGTATGTATGTCTGTCTGTGAATATCCCAGGTCATTCAATTCAATGTGTATTTGTACACTGTACAATGAAGACCAGGCCCCCGTCTTACAAAGAGTTGATATAAGTTGCGATTGATATCAATCACAACTATGTACGATAGGAGACTGCAAACTTGCGATGGGGCCCTGCATGTACAATGAAACACAGGCAGGGAGGGGAGGGGGGGGGGGACAACTAATGTTGAAGAAAAGAAAAACACTAATAACAACAAAACAAACAAACAATGAAACATCAAGAAAAACCCAAGCAATCTTGGTGAGATTTCAGTAGAGCTCTGGAACAGGGTCCTGTATTAAACACAAAGCTTAGCAATCAATTGTACGATTGAGTGATCGATCATACAATCAAATCATCATTATTACATGATTTTCAACTCTGTGTTTTTATGTATTCATATTATCATAACCTATTACCAGAAATCTTTTGTAATATATTTCAGAGCAATAACGATATTCATAGATATAATACCAGGACTTCAGCAGACACTCGTGTAATATATGGTCATTCTTCATTTTCAAATAGTATCTTTTTATGCCAAGGACCCACTATTTGGAACAAACTACCCCCTAAACTTAAACAGTGTGCATCTTTAAACAGTTTTAAGCATCATTTAAAACTTCACCTGATACAGCAAATTTGAATTTGACAAACGCAATTTTTATGTGTGTAATTACCATTGTAGTATTGTATTTTCTTTGTCCCCTTTTGTTTAGTTTTTTTTTTGTGTACATTTTTAGGATCATCTACTTATAAGTTTTTGTAACTTTTTTGATGATCCAACCACTTCGTAATTTCCTTTAGTGTATTTTCCATTTTAGTGGTTTTTCTATGTTTGCAAAAAAGTATTGTATTCTTTGCCTTTGTATGTTTTTATGAAAGTGGTAAATAAATTCAATTCAATAAATTCAATTCAATTCAACTGAAAATACATCATGGTCAATTGAAAATATTAGCAATCAATTGCCAACCTGGTACAAATTACAAATCCTACAAATTTCCCTCTACAAAATCAAATTTTAAACTATACACTGGGGGTATAGCATACTCAAAAACAAAGATAGGTCAATCTGAACCCTAATAAGAATAGCTGTTAGTGTGGGCCCTGCTTTGAGGGATAATAGTGTACATTAACAGGTGTATTCCTGTGCATGTACATTAAAGGTAATGTCTAGCAAGTGTGAACATGGTAGCCTCACTGTATGAACATGCCCCTGATAGAATAACCATCTGGCAGCTGTACATATACAGCAGGGCTATACTACATCAGATTTTCCCCAATTTTCAACCCCTATCTCTGTCCATCTCAATCTCAATTTTTGTTTCTACAGATGTAATGCGGTAAACCACCGTATAAAATAAAAGAAGCCACATTTGTTTAAAACGCGTGAATGGTCACTGCGTGTAGATCCTATGCGTATTTACAGAGGTTTGTGTATTAAGAATAAGATACAGAAATTTGAAGCACATTTCACTTTAATACAGCATCACAATTGTATTAAAAAAATTAACGCTGCTGATACATCCTCATACTCATAGTCACTCAAGAAATATAGTCTTTTTTAACTTGCAGGAAAAGCACATTCATTGCAGAATGAGTAGAGAACACACTTACTTTTCTGTGAGTCTGTCAACGTAGGGTTTCCTTAGATGCCTCTCGATAAGCCGGGCAATGATGGCAAAGGCAAGTATGGCTGCAGCACAATAGATCAGACAACACATGACGAATCAACATTGGCAAAGAGATGAACGGATGAAGCACCAATACAGCCTTTCAGATCTTCAGAGCTTCAGAGAAGAAATGTAAAAGATCAAACAGGTTCAGTACAAGTGATGAATTAAAAATGAAAACAACAGTAATATTGGCTAAAAGGCATAGAGGGATATTTGCAAGAAACATACAGTGTATGTATTGTGCAATGATATATTATAAACAAAGTTGAATTCAAAGTAACATCTGGGTGTTTCACTGCGATTTGCAGAGTTCAGAAAACTACATGTATTTCCCCAAACACAAGAAAAATGCAGTTAAGAAGACATGCAGGCATCAAGAATCATTTGGAGAAACCAGTGTGGACACCCTCTGCAGACCTGACCCTACATGTAAGTACAATGCCCATCTTGTACTGGATAGTTCAGATGCATACATTGAACAAACAGGAGCTCAAATTATTGAAGTACCTTGACAAAATGAATGTTTTGTCTTCCCACAGTCCTTACTAGAATTCAACAACAATCCTTTGAATGAAACTCTACAGAGAGATGCTCTTCTTTTACAGGATGTTACTACTACAAGTGGCTGCATATCAAATGATGGACTTGCCTGCTATTACCTCCCTCAACTCACCAGCTCAATTACTGGAGATATACCTCGCATTGGCTGGATGCAGACGGATGGACAGTTGATCTGGTGTAAATGCTCCTTCCTTCCTTTTTGATGGAGTCCCCGGGGTCAATGCTCTCAGGTCAAATGGTATTACACTCAAAGCCAACACACCCACACTCATCGGCTGGCTGGTCTAATCAGTCATCAGGTCGCCACTGACCATGGCAACCTTTCACAAGTCATCAGGGGCTTGGGGTAGGATCCTGAAAATGAAAATGAGAGAGAGAGAAAGAGAGAGAGAGAGAGAGACGGAGAGGGGGATAGAGGGTGAGAGATAGAGACAGGAGGGGAGGGGAGAGGGGGTGGGGAAGAGGCAGGAAAAGGGAGGGGGAGGGAAAGGGAAAGAAAGAAATAAGGGGTGGAGAGTGAGGGAGGGGAAGAAAAGAGGGAGGGAAAAGGGGGAGGGAAAAGGGGGAGGGAAAAGGGGGAAAAAGGGGGAAAACCGGAGAGAGAGAGAGAGAGAGGAGACAGGGAAAGAGAGTGAGAGAGGGTAGAAAGAGAGAGGAGGAGAGAGGAGGAAAGAGGGGCAGGGTTGGAGCGAGAAAGGGGAGGGGGAGAGGGAAAGAAGGGGAGACAAGAAGGGGAGAGGGTGAGGAGAGGAGGGGAGGGGGAGAGGAAGGGAGAGACAAAGAGAAAAAGAGGATGAGAGAGAGAGAGAGAGAGCGAGAATGCATTTAGTTAAAGTACAAGCATGGTGCTATGATCAATAAGTGGAGGGCTCAAGTAAAGGTTATCCAGAGGTCTGGATATCCAATAATACCAACACCAACACCACCCAAGCACATCAGACCACACAAAGCCGTCATCAACATTTCATAATTCGCTTGAGGTGATGGAGAGTTCACCTGAAACAAATTCATAATAAGGCTTCCAAACTTTTTTTCTCATTTCTAGAAATGCAACATTACATAAACATATCCAAATTAAATTGAAAATACACTGACCATGTTGCAATGCTCAGTTACAGTTCATGTGTATGCATTCATTTATTGCGTTCAAAAGCTACATGTGTATGTATACATTGTCGACAGTATTTAAAGGGGAAGTCCACCCTGAAATTAAGTTAGTTTTAATAGGAGTAGAAAAATGAGAGAAACAAGTCAGTGAAAGTTTGAGCAAATTCCGATTAAAAATAAGGAAGTTAGGATTTTTGAAGTTGTGATCAATCAAACACAAATTGGCAACTCTATGACGTATCATGCGAGCTCAACTTCCATTTGCTCAGTACTAAAAAAATCTAAAATTTTCATTTTCCCTCAAGAAAAATTTTAACCATACATGCACCCTAAATATAATAATTGCAAATATGTTTCTATACTCCCCCTGCAAGGAACAAATATATATTCCGTCATCAATAACGAAGAAAACATGATTTTATGGAATATTATGCATAAAGCAAATAAAGGAGAGCTCGTATAATAAGTCACAGAGTTGCCAATTTGTATTTGATTGATCACAACTTCAATAATTCATAACTTTCTTATTTTCATTCAGAATTTGCTCAAACTTTCACTCACCTGATTTTCTTATTATTCTGCCTCTATCGAAACAAACTTAATTTGGGGGTGGACTTTCCCTTTAAAGTCTCCTATTGGCCTGAATAAATTTGTATGATTCAATAAACATTTACTAGATTTTGTAATTTTCTTAAGTATGTGAAAAATTTATTACTGTAAACGCTGTTATATTTTCGCAGTGAGCGAACCCAAAAACTTATTTGCTACTGGTAGTTCTTAAATTCGGGTTGCATGCAATTCAGCCCGTTCAAAACATGCATCAGAAGTCATGGTTATATTTTTGCAAGTTCTAAAATTCGTGCTTGCCGATCTGAAAGCGAAATCTACTAAAAATGAATGTACCATGAATTTTTTTTTTACTTTTACAGTAGGCTCGATTTATGTTTTTTGATAATGTGACAATAAAATTATAAAAGCTTAATAAGCTTTTATAATTTTTGTTGATTATTTTAGATGTATAAGTTATACATCTAAAATAATCAACAAGGAGCCCTAATTCAACTAGTCCACATTTCATTAAGTAACGATAAACACAAAAAACATCAGATTTACAAGGGGGTATGAACAATTCTTGTTAACTGTACATGTAATGTAACTACATTTAACTGCTAATCAAATTGTCATCCAGAACGGCATGGGTTGATTTAATCATAGCCCCTATTGGTGCCGATTTATTTACAGGATTTCTATTTATTAATTTCAGATACACTGTACACTAACCAACAATCATTGAAATACAAAGTCTACCAACTTGTTCAATTACAAAAAGCACATCTATTGATAAACTTAGGCCTTCCCAGAATCACCATACACCCACCATGGCATGAAAGGTGGATAACAGATTCGCTTTTAAAGGTAATACAAAGATTTGGGAAATTTTGAAAATTGGGTGGATAGTGTGATTCATTACAATTTTGATATATTTGGATGCCCCTGTGGATGTATTATAAGCACTAAAATCTTTAGCCCCTAAAACAATTCTGTTTTCGAGAAAAATTGAATATACAAATTTACAGGGGCTCCCAGTAAATTTTGATAAATTTCAAATAGAGCATACGGCCGTACAATGGTAGCTGCGACCCTGAAAATTTCAGAATATGTAGTTGTGATATCTACCAAACGGGAATAGCTAATCGGTCGATATTAGTCAAGAAACATTGGTTTATAGCTTAATTAATATCTTGACCTTGAGAGGGCGCTTTACAAAATAAAGAGTTTATTATCTATAATTTCATAACTGTAGACTCGATTTCAACCGCGACAACGATCACTGCATATTGTAGGATCGCATATGCTTCCAACATATGTTCATTTGAACCAAATTCATGACCCCATACCAAAACTTTGTATTACCTTTAAGTTTAAACTGTAGTTAGATGACTAATTTTTCTTACTTAATAGGAGTAGAAGTTCAGCTAGAGTGCCAAACACATTTATCATTGAGTGATGCAATCATTTTAGAGACAAAGGGGCCACAATTGCCCAAGTCTTCCTTACATGTACATGTATACATTGTGTACGTGTTGGATGGGATTCAAAGGGACCAAGAAGACATTACTATTGTAGTTTGTACTTGTAAAATGTAAATGTAGGAACAAGCCTAATTGTCCATGGGGGTATTTATTTATTCATTTATTATTTTTTTTTTTTTTATTTATTTTTTTTTATTATTTTTTTTTATATTTATTTATTTTTTTTAATTTTATTTTATTTATTTATTTATTTATTTATTTATTATTATTATTTTTTTTTTTTTTTTTGGGGGGGGGGGGGAATAATTGTCCTTGGGGGGGGGGGGGTGGTTGTCCTTGGGGGTAATTTTCTTGGGGGGGGGGTGATTTTCCATGGAGTAATTGTCCCGATACGGCCCCAGAGACTGACAGACCTAGGTTCTGCTCAAGGCTTTTATGAATTGTCGTAAAGTGTCAAATAACGGAGTCTGTGCCTGCACTCGCTGCAGACTACATTGTAACATTGTGCGCGTTCTTCTCATAGGTCGAATAACGGAGCGGGTGGTCCAATTACACATCTTTTTACTCCATGAAGAGGCCTAATTCAAGACCTAAAATAACTCAACTTTCAATTTCAAATCAAATTAATTTTCATAATCAAACTCCACAATTTCAATTCATCATCAATAAACAATAATTACTACAAAAGAAGGAAGTTCAAAAAATCTACAAGTTTGGATTATTTACAAAGAAGGACCAAAACAGGTTACAACTATTACAAGTGAAAAGTCAAAACAGAATGCAAAATCATCATTAAAAAAATAATGACAGGAAAGTACATGAACTAGATACAAACAATCTCAATTTTTACTAAAGACCTTTTCACATTCTGAAAATCCACACCCTTTTCTGTCTCACTCTCAAAGTTTTGCCTAGTCCCATAGTATCTGCATCATCTGTGGGGCTAAGCTATCAAGGGAGGACTTAGCACCGGCAATAGTACAGGGGGGTGTTTCACATAGACTAAGATCGACTTCAAGTTGGACTTAACTATTGCAGGCCATTCATGCCACTGGTTGCTCTCACCATTGGTCTCTCAATTATGATCTTTAAATAATTTTTTTCCTTCAATAATGAACTATCAAAAAAGGTAAATTTACTAAATTCTGTAGATTTGTGACCACGATTTGTACGTCCCTTAAGAAGCTAATGCCAGGAATGGTTAGAGGAACTAGTGGCATGAATGTTCTGCCATAGTTAAGTTCAACTGAAAGTCAAGCTTAGTCTTTGTGAAACACCCCCACCCTTGACTACCTTTCACCAGAGATCTTCCATGTCTCTCCTGCCACCTTAGCCCACTTCACTTTCACAAAACTGGCTTGCCCCACTGCTAATACAGGATCATATCAAAATAAATACATGATCCTGGAAAAGGGTTAGTAACTTTAATAGCACCACATTCAGTGGGGCTACAAATTACCCATAGGTGGTGGGGCAAAGAGCTATTACATGTATGTGTCAATATGGGGAAGGGTTTTATTAATTCATCCATTTTCCATTATAATTTAGGTAAATTACATTGGGAAGGTACATGTAAAATTGTAAATGAAACATAGAGAAGCTCATAGAGGAGTTCATAGACAAGCAAGATACAAGGGCCTGCACATATCATTACAGTTTAAACTTTAAGAAAACGCAAAATCAGCTCTGCTCATCGCTCACCAAAACACACTATCTTTTTCACTAGAGGTCTGTTGAATGACCTACAACTGTTTAAGTATTTGATTATTTAACTGGGCATGAATCCAGATATCCAGACATCAACAATCATTCTAACAGACTTCTAGTTATCGCAGTCAGCATGAGATCACTATCTCCCCGGCATATTACATTGCTCGATCAGTGTAGACTAAACAAAATGAAGTGCACCTACATGTAAAGGGCTTATATTAGTAATGTATTGTAAGTAAACATATTGTAGCTAGCTCTGATCATTAAAGGGTTCCAGTAACTTTGTCTAAGATCCTTTAAAAAAATCCTTGATTTAGCTCATGCTGCAATGATAATTATAAACCTTAAGGTCAGTCAGAAACCCCATGACTTTTACAAGCCGATCGCCTGTCTGATTATCAATTGAAATCGAAATAAAATTTTGGGTTTGCCAAACGGTTTTCATAACACTACAGTCTATTGGGGAAAACGAGTATGGTAAAACCAAGGAGGATATTACAAATG